GACATCTGCAGAAGAGTGGTTGCTAAGGAGAGGAGAGCGCGTGTTCTCTACGGGACGCCCGGTTATTAGTGAAGCGCTGCGGTGGCATTCCTGGAGACGTGAAGACTCCTCAACGCATCATGAATCAAGGAAGGTTTAGATTTTAGTAGGGAAAAATATAAGTGTATTAAAATTCTGTATTCATTCCCTGACTGGAGGACAGAGTTATACGGATGAGAGGAAACATGTTGAGGGAAGATATGAAGCTGCAGTGTAGGTGATGAATTCTGTCATGTTTCATCTTTTGTGCATATTGTTTTATACTATAAAGAACTTATGTATTAGACTTTAGGTAAGGGACCAAACTTAAGTTTACGAAGAAAGTTAGCTTGTTTACAAATCGCTGATGTGGGCGTTTCATTTAAAATACGTTTAGTAGAACCCAGGAGGCAACCTGCAGTTCTTCATGTGTTAAAGCTGCATTCTCTCTAGTGTCCACCAGGGGGCGACTCCTCTGGTTGTACAGAAGTCTATGAGAAAATGACTCTACTTCTCTCTTGATTTATTACCTCAGTAAACATTGTAAACATGAGTTTATGGTCTCAGTCTCTAGTTTCAAGTCTTCAAAAACAAAGATGGTAATGTCCAAAAATGTCTAAATTGGGGCTTCATAACGGCAGACCATAAACCAATGGCCGTATATACAGTCTATGGTAGAAATAAATCATCTTCTCAGAGGTTGTTTGTTTATGCTAATAATGCTAATAACAGAGATGTAGACACCTTGGGAGGATGAAACCAGTTGTGAACGTAACACTGACATACCTTTTCAAGCAACTTGTTAGTTGCTTATTTACACTTCCAAAAAAGATTCTTTAGGAGTCTTTGTGTTTGTGTCAGCTGATCAATGTAAGTCCAATATTCCCTCTCTTTTAGCTCTGTTTTTGGTCTCCACCCCCCCGAGGGACATATCCATCCTTCTAGCTGCTGAATGCTTCATTGTGTTCACCAGCTTGTCTCCAACTGTGTCCGTCAGCTGTTCCCTGCTAAGCAGGTAGTGTAGGGTTCCCTTTAACAGCAACGATTATGACCGATGTGGACTGAATACGCTGACTGCACCCAATGTAGTAAACGTACACACACACACAAACACACACACACACACAACAACCCAACGGTCATCGCTGGGAAATTCACAGATCTCGCAACCGAAACGTAACCATCTGAGCCAAAAACCATATGTCCACCAGATCCCAGACAAATCTGTTATTTCTGTTAGCGACATCACTTAACAAACAACAGATGGTGAATAACCCAAAACTCAACACAGTTAGCAAACCAAAAATGCTAAACCACAGCGTCTTCGTCTCATTCGCCTCATGCAGTAATGTCTGCTCTCATTTTATCTCTTACATATTTCATGCACAAAAACAAGAACCCATCTACATTAAACCAGAGGGACAGGATACGCTTATGGTCTGAATCTGGTCTCACAGGAAGTGAGGTGTTTGTTTACATAGCGGAGAGGAAATGACATCAGGAGAGTATTTTGGTGAAGCGTGAAGCTCCGTTTGGCTGGAAGAACGTTTCTCCACATCTGAGAGTCATCAGGACTCAGAGAGCTGGACGGCAGCTTCAGCTAAAAGCCCTGAAATGTAAACGCCTCCTCCACACATGCACACGCTCTGCTTCCAATAAAGGAGCAGAGTGGGGCTGTGTTTCTGTGTGTGTGTGTGTGTGTGTGTGTGTGTGTGTGTGTGTGTTTATGTACAGAGAGACCAGATATCTACTGTGGGGGGGAAGAAAGTGGCATGTAATCTAACTGAATGACTTCTGAAATGAAAGAAACATTTCATATAGAAAGTGACTTTAAATGTCAGCAGAAAACACGCCATCATCTGGATTTTTTTTCAAATATTGGGAAATGAATTTGGGGCAAAACCCAAGCGGGATTTCACAAAACCCAACCATTTGGAAATCCACAGTTCAGTCAATAGCTGCTTTACTCAAAGGGTGTTTTGACAAAAGCAAAGGATCAAATGAGGCGATCAGCAGGTCACTCATTCACCGGCCCAGGTTTCACCAATTGTAAACATATTTTCTACATTCCAGGCTTCTCCCAGCATGCATTGCACCTCTTAGTTATGAGTTGGGAGTCTGTGAAGAGTGAAGCAGCAGCTGGCGGTTTCAGTCTGTCAGCGGGCCGCCAAGCAGACACGGCGACTTATTCAAATAAACCGAGCGAGTCACGAGACCGACTCCGCTCTGTGCTGAACGTGACCCAGTTGGCGAAGTCTGTGATCGGAGAGCTGGAGAGAGGAAGAAGGCTGAGCAGCACGAACCCTCAACTCTCTCTGCTAGTCTGAGCTCTGACATCTTCGTTCTTTGTCCAACAAGACCTCCTATCTACCTAAACAACTGTTCCAAAATGAGCCACATGTTTTTGTGATGAAACTTTGGTTTCAGTTTGGTTTAAGCTACTCATTCTACCGGCACCAGTGAGGAGGCCAACATCTGTCTCAACGCAGCCTCAGTGCTGTAAACTGAGACAAATTACATGGAAAAGGAATTTCCTGCCATTATTCATAAGCCACACAATATATATATATATATATATATATATATATATATATATATATAGTATATTATATATACACTGTATGTATTATATATATATATATATATATATATATATAGTATATTATATATACACTGTATGTAAAATATGAGATGCAAAATGTTCCATCGGTTGGAAGGAAAAGTTCTTGATTTAAAAGACCCCCTGCTGAGAGGAGAGAGGAGGTTTTCACACTTGAATGATTTCTGTGTGTGTGTGTGTGTGTGTGTGTGTGAGGAGATGAGGGGGAGTTGAGAGTAAAATATGAATGGGGGGGGCAAACATTAAAAAAAGAACAGCGTGTGATAGAAAAGTGAGAGTATGTGAATGTCAGTGTGTTTGTCTGAGAGAGGGACAGTATCGGGGTTCAGAGCAAGTCACAGATTCCTGAGAGAGACAGTGTGTGTGTGTGTGTGTGTGTGTGTGGGGGGGGTACAGTCTCTAGCTGATTGTAACCAGCTGTGCAGTTGACTGGTGGCCTCACTCGTCTCCTCTACAGACTCCAGTGGAACGCTGATGCTAAAGAACAGTACAAGGCTAACTAGCTTCACAATTTAGCTTAAACTAAAACACTTGTTTAAATGTTCCTTGTGAAAATGTAACATTTAATGTTTATTTATTTAATCTGCATATGTTTTAGTTGCTGTAAGGTACTAACTGCCTTCAGTAATAAAGAAAATACAACAAATAAATGTTTCCAACCAGACACAACACACTGAAAACAGACTTTGTCCACGGCTGCACTGGTTGAATAAACCTTCTCTAATGATCTTAATAGGAAGTCTAATTGTGTAATAAGCTGGTTTCTTCAATCACAAACACTTTGATCAGCTTACAGCAAAGGAGGTGAAGAAGTACGTACACAAGAGAATCTTTTAAAGACACAAAGAGAGGAAGAAGCCATTTGTTTGGTGGATGTTGGTTGAACTTATTAATTCTCTCAGATGTCAGCAGGGGTGCTTTCAGGAATTTCGGGGGCCCCTGACAGGTTATGACTCCGGGGCCCCTTCGCGCCAATGCATTTGATTTCATGCACTAGCCCGTCACCTCACCTTTTTCTGCCCTTTTTTTTTTTTTTTACCCCCAAGTGGACTTCTCTGGGAACCCAAGAGCCGTTGTAGGAGCTCAGGAACTTTGCCTGCGTTTCGCCCACAGAGTCCTTGTGTCTGTGAAATATAAACTCTCCATATTACACCCCCCCCCCCCCCACACACACGCACACACACACACACACACACACAACCACAAACACACACACACACACACAGATGGTTTACACAATGAGGGTTAATAATCTGCAGCTTTTTCATAGAAATGTCTCTCTTATGAATCCTCTTCCCTGACAAAGCACTTTGTAAACGGCCGTGTTGATTAGAAACACCCCCCTCGTGTCATGGAGGGCTCTGACTTACGAAAGCTAAAATAAAGGTTTTCTGGAAGGTCTCACAGTCAACACTCGTGGTCAGAAGTCAGGACAGATATCTGGCCGGGACGTCCTTTCTTCATCAAGGACAGCGGAGAATGTAGAGCGAGCAGCAAAGTGACAGAATCCAGACACAGAGCGTCCGACGGGCCATGAGCACTAAACTACTGGATTTATCTAGAAGTTGTCTCTGTATTTGGACCAAAGTAAACCCAGTTATTTAAATATTAGTACAGTTATAATTAGTGGCAGTAACAGAAGTTGTGGTCGTAGTATAACAGGTCTGTTGAACTTTAATTCTGCTCCATTATTGAGCTTGAAGCTGCTAAATTTCTTAGGTTGTGTTTGAATAACTAAAATAATTAGAATATTTCTAAAATCATTTTTCTTTCACAAGCGTCTAAGCTGAATACCAGCTGTGTTTTTATTCGGTGTGAAGAGTACAATCACCCGTAAATGTCCACTTCTGACCACATGTTATGAGCCGTGCTGATGGGGGGAAAGACCAGGGACGGATTATTGAACAAAAGAACTGGGCTAAGGCCCCGGGGCCCGACAGGTTAGGGGGCCTCTCTTTGAAGTTACTGCTAACATTTCTGTTGGGAAGTCACTGTGAGACACACAACTACCGAAAGTAGTGCTATGGCTTCGAAACAGCAACGGTTTATGGCTGTCGCTGAAGGAAATGCATATTGATCCTGAGCCACAGGTAGCTCATGAGCTTACCTGAGACCATGTGAGCCAGCATTCACAATATAACCTGAACCTGCCTGCTGAGACCGTTGCTGGCTCTCTGGCTCAAAGCCACTTCACCAGAACCTCTCCTCTAATTCTCTCGCTCTGCAGCTTCTGGACCAGAGAGAGAGAAGCAGCAGCCCAGTCAGATCGGGCGTCTGTGATGAATTGATTGGATAATTTCGACCATACGGGAGCATTCAGACACCATTAAAGTAACAAGATGGCATCAGTCAAAGGTTAGTGCGGAGAATGCGTGCAGAGAAGCACAAGGCTGGCTTTGTCGTGGGCTTGTTTAGTGCTGGGTCAGGTTTGTTTATCAGTGCATAATCACATAATGCAGACAGTAATTGTGGAGAGCTGATTGTCCTACATGTTCCTTTGTTCCTTACGCCGTACGGTAGACTTTCATAGGCTCCTGTACTGTGGCCAGGGTCAGCAGCAACAGAGCTGCTTTGTCTGCTCATCAGCTCGCGGTGTAAAGCAGGACAGTGTGGAATACATTACTTTACATCCCATTACTTTGTTAGCACGTCTCTGAACATTACTACAACGCCTACATCCACTGTTACTGCTGCTAAGACTTTATATTACTAGTGATGCCCCAACAAACACCCCCTGAACCTAAGAGAGGCTTGTTTGTGCTGAACCTAACCTAACCTTAACCAACGCATTGTCACATCATAACACTGATTTATTTAAGTTTGGAAGGCACAGAGAGATGAAGTCTGACAGATGCTTCAGATCAGAAGACATGGATGTGGACAAACAACGTATTTTGTTGTTTAATTTGGAGGATTTGTTGTGCTCGTTTGCAGTTTAGTCCAATTGCTGCCTTAACGATCAACATGTTTAAAATGAAAGGACGACCGGCTCGAGTCCCTAAACCCCGAGAATAAACTACTAACCCTAACCCTAACTCCGCGAGAGGGCGGAGCTACAACCGAACACTGAATAAGACTTTTTCAAGCAACCAAACGTTACAATCAACTTTCATGAACTAAAATCACACTGAAAGGGTTAAAGTTAATTAAAACTAATTATTCCACATAAATAGCCCATGAGTCTGTCGTCCCATCAGTGGGTCTCTGGACACACAGAAGACTTTTACAACTTGACAGTAAACTCCCTAAACTCCTGGAAACACACTTTGATGTGTGAAAGATGCAGAGTTCCCTTTTAATTTATTGTACGGACAAACATCTTCAACAACATGTTCCAGCTCGTTGGAGAGAGACACAGAGGCTAACAAAGCACAGCTCAAGTAGAAGGAACCAACGTGACCATATGACCCACACGGCACAGAGACAAACAGCATCTTTTAGACTCACTGAGGTTTCGCTCCAAAGCTAACATGCTCTTAACTGTCCCGTCTCACAGCCTGGACGACACGGACGCTATCAGATCCGAGCCAGGACCCACTGACTCACGCCAAGAACTCCCCGTGAGGCCACCGCTGGAATACCAGCATCTAAAAACAGCTTCAAACCAAACAGAACCCAAACTGGGATCATCCTCCCTCTCACTTGGCAACCTGTTGCTCTTGGCTGCCGAACAAGGAGCTCCGTTCAGCGCCGTCCGGGTTTAACAACCTGGAACCAACAGAAGGCAGAACATCCCTCTACCTGGTCGATGCGGAAAACATCAGAAACAAGCCGCACTTCAACAACACTTCAAACATCCCATAAACACGGTGGAACAGTGAAAGTGTTTTGATTTGTTTTCTCCGATTAGAACAGATTCACGAGAACCGAGCGGACAGAAGTTGTTATATTTGCAGTCACAGAACAGTAATGCGTGATGTTTCACTATACTGTCTGTGTTTAGATGAAACCTGCACAAAGTAGCTACATGTGATGAGTGCTTTATAATAACACATCACAGACTGCAGCACTACTTTAGTGAAGGCTGAAACAAACGTTAAACCCCGTGTGGCAGAGAATAGCAGCATCTAGAATGACTACTGGCAGAGTTCATGGCTCAACCACAAGAGCTCAGAATAAGATCTGATGTAACAGAATGAAACCGACTGTATTTTATTTTCTTATGTGGAGAAACAAGTGGTAGTTTTAGTAAGAACTAAGGGATGAAAGGAGCATTATAGAAGCTGAAGACACATTTCAAAGCAGGTCTGAAAACATCCAACAAGCCTGTGTGTAGAAAGAACAACAACATATCTTATTTTGAAATGTTTTGCAGAAAATGATCAGCTAAAAGTTTGTAAGGAAGGGTCTTCTGTACATTTTATTGTGAAAAACCCGCTGTCTGTACCCTCTCCTGTACTTTGTGTATTAAGCTCCACAGAGTTACACAAACCTTTCAATCAAGTGCACACGAGTTTCAAACCAGTGAACCTGGAACTAAACCTTCACTGTAATCAATCAGAGACAGAAAGGAAAACTGTTTTCACATCATATCCACAGAACATCTTCTCCAGCTCTTCTGCCGTCACCTCCTCTTATCTGCCTGCGTCTAGACGGTTATCTCTGCTGTTAGGGAACAATTGAGCAACTTCACGGGACATTCCTCTGAGAAGAGCTTCTCAAAGGAGGCAGCGTACGCCGGCAGCATGAACGCTGATGCTGCAGATAGAGATGTCAGATGCTCTCTCCGTGCTCACGTGTCTCAGATCTGATGTTTTCTCATCGGTATAAACAGGAAGTCATCATTTCCAGTGCTGATTTATGATGCAAAATGTATTGAACTCACATAGATGTGTCTCTGCTGGTAGCGCAGGAAGAGGTTGTGCATGATGGCGCCGTCATGAAGGTCCTCCAGGGCCGACATGTCCTCCACCCCTCTGATGCTGCTGTGGTGCATGGGCTGCACCTTCTGTCTGCTGAGAGCATTCTGCTTGTAGGTGTACACCTGGATCAGAGAGTGGGAAAATATGGAAATATGAATCACGTCAAAAAGAAAAATGACAATTCAAATGGGTCAAAACTGGAAAGAGGATGGTCGGAGTAACGCAAAGATGGAAAATTCTCTATGACTGGCATTGCACCTCAACAGTAGTGGACTTCTACGCTGTCTCACAACCCAGAGACAGAGACAGTTCAGAGAGGAGACGGCCTGCCGAGAGTCATTTCCTGTATCTGGGTCACATGGGTTTCATCACTGCCCCGCCCCTTAGCGGCAGGTGTCTATTAACTCCAATGAGAGATGTGAACGTGACAGATTATGACCGATTCTTTCGCTCCTCAGTCACCAAAATGAATTTCAGACACAAATTTTCTGATACATCTTCCACTGAGGAGACAGGAAGTGTAAACCATTTGAAACCATTGGCGGAGCTTGTGAGGTGTCATCTATTGACTGGGCTTTTTCAGGAGGGGTCTTAAAGAGACAATGTTTCAGACAGAGGGTGAACACGGGTATATTCAGACGGACAGAATTAGAAAAGTGTTGAGCATTAAAGCATTAAAGCGTGTAAACATGTTCCAGTAGAAACCCAAAACACAAGAAGGAACCTGAAAATGAGCATCATAAGTCGCCTTATAAAACATTGGACCGTGTGAACTTCCTCTTTCAGTCTGGTCCAGGTTTGGGTCGTTGGAGGCCAGAGGTGGACTCCAGGCTGTTAGGGCTCCACTACAGGTTGTACATCTCTATTTTTAGATGCAGCCGTTTCTCTGTTTGGCTCGATGATGACCGAGTGAGTCGGTCCAGAACCAGAGAGAGAGACCAGACCTCCAGAAGCCCTGACAGCTAAAAGAACCACTGGACTGGACTTCCCTCGGTTACCTCACTGACTCTCCCATCAGAGATGAACTATGAGTAGAGATATTTCTGTGTTGCAGTAATAACGATGCATGATAGAAAACAGCTGGGAGAGGAACCTGAACCGAGACAGAACCCATGAGGACAGACAGCAATGTGACTTTATCTGATGTGCTGGATGTTAAACATGATTAAAACCAGCTGATATTGTTGTTGCACATAGATCAGAAGATGGAGCAGGAGTTCAAGTGTTTGTTTTCATCCTGCAGCAGACGATGTGATTTCTCTCTGGGTGGGTAAACTTTGACGGGAATCATAAACGTTCTGTTAACGTCAGCAGCCTCTCTGTTGGTCAAACGGTTTAACTGTGTGATTTACAGCAGGACTCATCCTGACCGACAGACTCTACCTCATGTTACTGGACGACTGGGACGAGTGAAGGAAAACTACAGAGACTCTCCATCACACACGCAATCCAGGAATGTAAGCTGAATATTAAATATTTAAAAAAGTCTAAGTTCACAGCGGTGAAAAAATGAATCTGTGGTTGAAATGAAGCTGCAGAAGAAGAACTCAAATGATTTACTTCAAACAAGCTCTTGGGTAGAGAGGGTTGTCCGCCAACTGAAAGGTCACCAGTTCGATCCTCGGCTGCACCGTGTCCTGTGTCGAAGTGTCCCTGAGCAAGACACTGAACCCCTAACTGCTCCCCGGGCGCCTGTCATTGGCAGCCCACTGCTCCCTATATATACAGGGATGGGTCAAATGCAGAGAATAATTTCCCCACTCTGGGACTAATAAAGGAATGTTTCTTCTTTCTTCTTCTTCTTTCAGCATCCACAGTTTGACAACAAAAAAACACCGTATATAGTCTGCAGTACCCAAAGTAAAACTACACATTTGAAGAGGATTGAAGTAAAATATCACCTCTTCAGTTTGGGGTGCTTTGATCACCCGATCATTTAAAGAAAGAAAGGAAGGAAAGGAAGGAAGGGGGAGAAAAATTAGGAAAAAGGCAATGACCAAGTGAAGGAGGAAGAAAGAAAGAAAGAAAGAAAGAAGAAGTCAGATAATTAAATTAGTTTAGAGGAAACAAGAAAACATGCAAGAACAGAGATGAAGTGAGGAATTAAGAAGGAAAAATCTGTACAAAAGTTAAAAATAAAGAAAGGATGTGAGGAAAGGAACAACATGCAAGAAGCAACAAGAGGAAATAATGTCTAGAAGTTATTGTGTCAATGAGCTAAAACTACTTGCTTAGGTTTAGGTTAAAATAACTACAACAAATAAGTCAACGCTGACTTCTGGTTTCACAGGAACATGAACAGCAGTCTGCTGGTTAAAGTCAGATGTTTGTAGACCCGTCTGTCCACCCAGACCTCCTCCCTACGAGGACGTTGTCTCTCCTCAGTCTCCTGTCCTGGCTCATGATTATGTGGATTACAAACGAATTGATTAAGTGGGATGTAAATGAATTATCGTGTTTTTGTAGGTGTAGCGACGAACCGTGTTCGAGAACAGCCTCTCTTTGGTCGCGTTGAATACGACTTCCTGTTGCTGCTTGCGTGCTGGTTAGTAGCCGTCAGTCTGCGGTGGACTGTCATCGGTGTCAGAGATCTTGATCTCAGTGAGACGACATGAAATACACAAACTACTCTCCAACCATCAGACTAAAGGACGTCTCAGTAAGTCAGTACACAGGTAAAGTGTACAGTAACAGTAATCGTATCCTGTGTGGGCAGTGACATCTCCCCTCCACACAGGTGACACATGGCAGATAGAGATCTGGTGAATAAAACCAAGTGAGGAGCTGGATGAGCGTATCGTCGGTGTCCGGGGACGAGGCCGTCCATCTGTGTCCCATCGTCAACCCTCTGACCCTGATGAACACACGTCATGTCCTCCGGAGGAAACGTTTCAGCCTTCAAGCTTCTGATACAAGGAGGAGTTCAAACTGTAGTCACAACACTTTACACAAGAGAGGACAGCTTATCTGAAGGATTGTGTCTAATGGGGACAGTCCAAATCCAGTCCAATATATTAGTGTTGTTAACTTATTTAGCAATGAGCATGAGGAACAAATATGGAGTGTGAAAATAATAAAATACTGAGGAACAGCACTTTTAACGTTCAGACAAAGAGGCGATTCTTCTGCTCTCCACCGTGTCTCAGCATCAGACCACTACGGACCACAGGGCAGTGGAGTCCAGCGGAGGAGAGGAAGAGCCGGCGAGGTTCATGAAGAGGACGTGTCAGCGCTCTGCTGGAGGTCTGCAGCCTGCATGCACAGATCACAGAGGTTCACCAGGAGGAGATCAGCAGGATTCGGTTTCCTGAAGTGACATTGAAGACGTCCTCGCTGTCCAACTGCGTTTAGTTCACCTTAGTGAACGCCACAGAGATTATTGAGGCGAACACACAGGTCCGGCTTCTCTTAAGAGTCCATCATGTATTTCAGTTTCCAGCCTCATCAGACGATGAGAAGCATCGTCACAGGTGTGTTTACGTCGGAGATTCTCAGCCTCAACTAAACGGAGTTAAGATGATTTCTTTTAAATAGTATGAGGTCTGAAAGAAATAAACTCACTATTTATTTTAATTTATCTTTAATCTACACAGGGAGCTCATGATTTCTGATCACCTTATATAAGATTATTTGTTGTATTTTCACTAATAAAAGATGTCTGTCTCATCAGTCATGCAATTTAAGTATTTGTTTCTTGTGTGGGCAGAAGGTTGCCTTCTGGTTTCTCCTCGTTGTTCATTCAATGTGTTGATTTCTGCTCTTTACATACAAACGGTCCTTTCAAAATAACTCAGTGAGCTTGAGGACCAGATCCTGGTTTGGGTTAAAACAACTACAGAAGCATTGTTACTGAAGTACGCAAGTTACATGACAAACACACACACACACACACACACACACACAAACACACACACACACACACTGAACCCTAGGGTTGTGTGAAGCTGGTCGTTGACCCGCTATGACCGAGCGGCTCGGGGTGACTCTTCCTGAAGAAAGCTGCTCTCTGTCTGAGGAGTCAATCACATCTGACCTCGCACACAACACACAGACACACACACACACACACACACACACACAGCCAAGTCTCCCCCTTCAGCATCCTGCCAGGCCTCGTCTCTCACATTCCAGCTGCAGTGACGCTTCAGGGAAACTGAACGTCACAGAAACGTCTTTCAGAAGAACGAAACGCGACCGAGTCTTCTCAGCGGCGCGTCATCAACGATGCGTTCACAACCGGTGCGTTCTGACGGGTTTATCAGTCCTGATAATGAAAGCTGAGCTAAACTAAGCTGGAAAAAACAGTGTACGGCTCCCTGTTTGTCATCACATCCAACAAATATACTTCCACTGTGACCTCGACCTGGACGGGACTTTAACTGCTTCTAGAAATGAGATCCACCGTTTAAAGACCAACGTGTTTACATTCTCTGAGAGGAAGACAGTTACAGGGAGCTCACGGACTTGTTAGACCAGTTCTATGTCAACGTGTCCTTCAGTCCTGGAGAGGATGTAGAGACTGTAAACACACCTTCACCTCTCTGCTGGAGCCTCATCACCATGTTCATCTCTTCCTGCTGCTCAGGGAGGCCCAATCAAAGCTCTGAATTCATTCTCTTATTTAATAACTCATGGTCACACATTCATAATTCTGGTGAAATCAAATGAAATCATGCAGGTTCACCAGAAACTCCTTCAGCTCAGACTCAGATCCAGATCCTCTCTAACAGAGACCGGTCCACCGTGGACAGACCCAGATCCTCCAGCAGAGACCGGTCCACTGTGGACAGACCCAGATCTGGCTTCACCTGCAGCCTTGGACCTCCCAGGACGTATTGCTGGACCTGCTGGAGGGAAGGGAGGCACGGGAGAACCAGAACTGAGAGGGGCAGACTGTCAGACCCTGCTGCAGTAAGATGAGAGGTTTTCTAAAGGGACTCTGGTGCTCAGAAACACTACGGCTTTCGTTGCCAAAATCCACACAAAATCAAAGTTCCTTGTAGTAGCGTTGACAAAGTGCTTAATAGGAAGCTAATAGAATATAGGAGGTAAGACAAGAACCCCGCCAAGCTGTGTGGTTGTAAACTCAACCACACATTTCTTTGCACGGGAGCATCGTCAT